AGCTAAAAATAAAATAATAATCTTTACTCAATGTTTTCTCATTTGTCTTAGAACTGAAAGACAACAGTCATAATTGAGTTTACTTTGTTTAAACATATTTATTCAAGCTCGCTTGTGAAACAAGTTCTTGCAACTTATATAAATCACTTTCAAGTCCATTTCCTGGAACCAACCAGTACTGATGTTTATGAAGAAACATGGTGGTGACCTGATTAGAGCTTGAACCCATGATCCCTGGGTTGAGAGGCTGACACCTTAACCACTAGGCCACAACTCCCCTTATTGAGTTTATTGTTGTATGTTTATTGTATTTGTGTGTCATAAACACCTGACACACCTTAGTAATAACCATGTCACTCACCCCAATTGTAATTGACAGATATAAATTTGAATGAACTATATGACATAGAATTGACATGTGTGATGATATCTCTGTCCTGATTGATTATAATGATTTATCATATATCCTCTATTTTGGAACTACATAAAACCGGTATTGCAAGGTTGTACATATATTTGACGTGATGTTATTTGCATTATAAAAACACAGTGTAAAGATGTGCTAAATGTTAGCATTACTTTTTAGTAATGGACGCAGACTTTTAATACATCCTTGTGCTTCTGCAGGTGTTAATGCATGCAAAAACGGTACATTATTCCTCTATTAATAACTGATAGTCTGGTAAACTGCAGACATATACCTATAACAAAAACATCTTTGCTAAATGGACAAATTACCTTTCCATTAAAAGTTGATATAGAATTTAACATACAATAAACATACTTATTTAGTGCAGAAATGGCCGCTGGTTCTTGTTCATTTTCAGCTTGTGTTGTACCCAGATATTGCCATGCCTAGAATATACAATTATACATGGTATAAATTATCGTTATCATAATATATTACTCTGTTTTATTGATTCATTTGTGAGTTATAATTTCTCAAAATTGCCCCAGTTGTGTATCACTTCATGTACAGAATTACTAAAAACCTTGTTACAACTTTCTGTCACAAAAAAGGCGGCGTGGCCAAGTGGTAAACGCATCGGACTAGTCATCTTATTATCGCTAGCCGCTGTCACGGGCAAGTTGTTGTTTTCTTGAGCAAGAAACTTAACACTCATTGTTTATGTTGGTTCCAGGAACGGATTCGAAAGTGTGTTTAAGAGCTTAACACAATTAAACTATATTAAATTCTATAAATAAACCAAACGTTCAGCTGAAACAACAGAGATTTCATGAAGGGGCATAATCTAGTCACAATAAATGCTAGAGGTATGGATCTTTGCCAGTGATCTTCAATTTTTATCCTTAGTACATGTGTAAAGTTTCAAAACAATACCGACAGTTGTTAATTAGATGTAAAGCTACAAACAAAATGGTCTTTAAGCATTGCGCCAACAATAATGCAAGGGTGAATAAAATTTCCCATAATTCTCCAAAAGCTGAGCTAAAATACTTAAAAGGACTCCACTGAGGCTTTTTGGCATGAAGAGATTGGAAATATTTTTTCCAAACTTTTGGACCATTTGATACAGGTCAGGACTAATAGTTTGTTAGAAAACAAGAGGGCCATGATGGCCCATATATCGCTCACTTGAATATAAATACTCTCCATGACAAGGAAAAAGTAATATTGTAAACTAGAAACAAAAGCAGATATAAAATCTAAATCTTAAACTGATATCACAAAGTCCATACTTGTATCTGGAATAGTGCACATGTGTTGCTTTTGCTAATGAAACAAGAGGGCCATGATGGCCCTGAAGTCGCTCACCTGTACATAGGCCCCCGGAGCAAGGCCAGTTTAAAGCCTGGGGCTTTTATTTGAACAAACTTTGTAGACAACCATTAGAAGATGTTTCAAGCTAAACATCTAAGGTCTAGCTCGTTGGGATTTTTAAAAGAAGATTTTTTTAAGTTTTTTCTTTACACATATATTTAAAAATAATGACACACCTTGGGCAGGGCCAGTTTTGACCCCAGGGCTTTTATTTGAACAATCTTTGTAGACACTTACTAGAAAATGTTTCATGCTTAATATCTAAACTCTAGCTATTCGGGTTTTTTAAAAGAAGATTTTTAAGTTTTTGCTATACTTGTATAAGGAAAATCAATGTCCCCCGGGGCGGGGCAAATTTTGACTCCAGGGCTTCTATTTGAACAAACTTTGAAGACACTCACTAGAAGATGCTTCATGATTAATATCTAAATTCTTGCTATTTGAGTTTTTTCAAAGAAGATTTTTTTTTTTTGCTATAGTTTTACACATATAGGGAAAATGAATGACCTCCGGGGCAGGGCCAATTTTGACCCCAGGGCTTTTATTTGAACAAACTTGGTAGACATCCATTAGAAGATGTTTCATGCTAAATATCTTAGCTCTAGCTCTTTTGGTTCTTTTAAAGAAGATTTTAAGTTTTTACTATATGCATATAGGGAAAATCAATGACCCCCTGGGGCGGGGCCAATTTTGACCCCACGGCTTTTATTTGAACAAACTTGGTAGACACCAATTAGAATATGTTTCATGCTAAATATCTTAGCTCTAGCTCTTTGGGATCTTTAAAAGAAGTTTTTTTAAGTTTTTACTATATGTATAAATGGAAAATCAATGACCCCCTGGGGTGGGGCCAACTTTGACCTCAGGGCTTTTATTTGAACAATCTTGGTAGACATCCATTAGAAGATGTTTCATGCTAAATATCTTAGCTCTAGCTCTTTTGGTTCTATAAAAGAAGATTTTTTTTAAGGTTTTACTTTATGTATATAGGGAAAATCAATGACCCCCTGGGGCGGGGCCAATTTTGACCCCAGGGCTTTTATTTGAACAAACTTTGTAGACAACCATTAGAAGATGTTTCAAGCTAAACATCTAAGGTCTAGCTCGTTGGGATTTTTAAAAGAAGATTTTTTTTTAAAGTTTTTTACTATATGCATATAGGGAAAATCAATGACCACCTGGGGCGGGGCCAATTTTGACCCCAGGCTTTTATTTGAACAAACTTGGTAGACACCAATTAGAAATGTTTCATGCTAAATATCTAGCTAAAGCTCTTTGGGTTCTTTAAAAGAAGTTTTTTAAGTTTTTACTATATGTATATAGGGAAAATCAATGACCCCCTGGGACGGGGCCAATTTTGACCCCAGGGCTTTTATTTGAACAATCTTGGTAGACATCCATCAGAAGATGTTTCATGCTAAATATCTTAGCTCTAGCTCTTTTGGTTCTTTAAAAGAAGATTTTTTAAGTTCTTTCAATGACCCCCTTGGGCAGGGCCAATTTTGACCCTAGGGCTTTTATTTGAACTAACTTGCTAAACACCCATTAGAAGATGTTTCATGCTAAATATCTAAGCTCTAGCTCTTTGGGTTCTTTAAAGAAGATTTTTTAAGTTTTTACTATATGCATATAGGGAAAATCAATGATGCTGTACAATCCACTGGTTGCTGTACAAGATAAATGGTTACATTGGAAGTCAGTGCTTGCTATGAAATTCAATGGTAGATGGTAGATAGATAATGTTTGCTATGGAAGACCCTGGTTGCTATGAAATTTTACAGTACTATAAAGTAAATGTCTGCTATGAAACTACTATGACTCGACCATAGCCTTTGTAACCATAATGATATACTCAATCTTAAATTTCCTGTTACCATGACAATGAAGGGAAATCTCGAAATTGCTAAAATCACTATGTTTCCATCAAAACTGATTTCAAAGTGCTGCAACTTCTCAATGGATTGAAATAGAGTCAAGGGCTTTTCAAGGTTGGTTACACGTTTAAAGGTCAAACCTTTAAACAGATGATTTTTTTTACCTGACCTCTTTTAGAACTCCATACTGGTTTCCTAGCAGTTACCAGACTCTAGTGGTTTTCCGCTACCCTTTATCATTTTCAACCAGTACAGTATATCTTGACTTATAGAGTATATGTGTTACTTTATGAAATCAAAGATATGTTTGGCAACACAGAAGTTAAAATAGTACAGCGGTTTATATGTTCTGAAGTTTGGCCTGTTGTTCAAAGTTACCTTAGAGGACTTGCAACATATAGAAAAAGGCAAAACTTGGAAAATTCCAGTTTGAAAGCTTATGTGCAATAATTGAGGCCAACTTCTAATGCTTTCATTTTGGTCCTTAACTTTACTTATTAACTGGTATATGGGCCTGAAATTTAACAATATTGGCCTGAAATTTAACACCTTTTCTCACATTCATTAAAAATGTCATAACAGTTTTTTTCAGACCTTTTTCATTTTGAATATAACTCAGTTCCAGTAGTAAGCAATGTCAAAGAAATATACTTGTCCAACCTTTTCTGTGTGGTCTGCAAATATATTGAATGCTGGAAAATAAGATACCTAACTGTGTTCTGTCAAAGTTGTGTACTCATCCAGTGACAGATTATCTAATTTGTAAAAAAGGGCAGCTTTTTGTATTGGAAACTGCTAGAAAACTAGTATATTTCTAATAGATAAAAATTATAAAAATAAAAGTTCTTAAATATTTTAACTTGCATAATTTCTAAAATCTGAATTTAAAGACTTTCCTATATTTGTATCAGCCTTTCTTTGATAATGAGGTCTAATTAAAACTTTCAAAGGACAAGCTCTGACATTAGTCGTATTTATAAATAGCAAAAACTACTCATAGCCAATCAAAGCTAATTAATGATTGAATTCTGACAAATAAGTAATTTTGATATTGCAACAGCTCATTTTTGAATGTGTCTTAAATACAACAACAAACGACTAATATATACATGTAAATGTACACCACTTGCTTTTCAAGTGAAGTATTTTTATCAGTTAGATATTTTCTTCTGTGTTATATTGATTTAAATGTTAAACCAGCCCTATGTAAACACTTTATTATTTATATACCTTAAAGTTTAACAATTTTGAAGTGAATATGAATAAACTTTAGATAATGTTTCACCAGATAAAGTTAGACTTTGTGCAAGGAGGTATAAGGGCAGCTTTGATAAGTTAAACCCAAAGTAGGTCAAATCATTTAGACATTATTTAGCAATAGGAGAGGATTTATATCAATGAAAAAAAAAATGTAGAAATTGATATTTTTCCAGGAGTACAATGTAGAAGATTCTTAAGGCTTTCAGTTATCTTAATTATAGAGTTAAAATAACTGTGAAAGAAATAGAGACATTTTTATCGATTATACTATGTAAATAGATCAACTAACAAACATAGTCAGGAAAAGAGAAAATGGCTACAGGTCGACAAATTGATTCGGATAATCTTTCGGATGAAATATTTGACGTATTATGTTCAATGTGTAGAAATGAAGGCAGGAACACTGAAGGTGAAAAATACTGTGTAGATTGTCACGATTATTTTTGTGTTAGTTGTGTCAAAGTTCACAGTAAAGTGCCTTTATGTGCTGGTCACAAGGTATTGGATAAATCTCAAGTCAAGTCAGGAACCAGTAAAGCTTTGCCAAGGGCACCAGCAGAGAGATGTGACAGACACAGTCATAAACACATTGATATGTACTGTCAGAACCATGATAATGTTGGCTGTTCTACATGTATGGCAGTTGATCACAGGTAAACTATAGTATTTAAACAAAGATATTTTTAAGAAAGTATATGGAATATTTACTATATAGGTACTTTACATAATATTCTTAGACTATCTTTAATATACAACACTAAATAAAATATCATCTCCTCTGTCATCTCATAGCCTCATAAACTGTTTGAACTTATTTTTCAGATTATGTAAGGACACATTCTACATACCAGAATTTATCCAAAACAATACTTACCAAGTAGAATCGAGAGACATTCAAACAAAACTCAAGGAAATAGGCAAGACCCTTGAAAAACAAGCAGATAGATTTAAACAGGATAAACAAAGGCTATTAAAGAGGAAAGTAGAAATACTGGCTGATATCAGAAAATTCAGACAAGAGATCAATGACCATCTTGACAAGCTGGAGAAAAGTTCTATTGATGAGATAGAAAGTAAAGTCAAATGTCTTGAAGACAAAATCGAGGATAGCTTAAAACAGCTACAAGCAAATAAGTCCAGGATTAGATCAGCTAATAATAAGTTAACATCTACAAACACAAATTATTCTGAAGTGTTTGTTTATGTGAAGATGGGAGAAGATGCTGCAAATGTTGCCACCAAATATATGGAACATGCGAAAATAAAAAGTACAGTAGGAAACATAGAGTTTCAACCTGACAGAACAATTCTTACACAGTTAGAACAAAAGAAAACCATAGGCACACTATCAGAGAAACCTACAAAGACTGCTGACAATTTATTTCAGATTAAAGGAAATCAATCATATGATGTAAAAGTTAATTCGGATGAAAATGTTTGTTATATCAAGAGTGCCTGCTGTATGGAAGATGATACAATAATTCTTGCTGATTACAACAACATGAAACTTAAACGTTTACATAGTTACAACTATACTGTCACAGACTACTGTGATCTACCTGGAAATCCATGGCATGTATGTATGATCAATAACACACAAGTAGCAGTTACTGTTCCATACAAACAGGAAGTTCATTTCATTTCTCTAGAAAGAAATATGAAAACAACAAACAAGATTAACACAGATTTTCCATGTTATGGCCTTGCATATGCAAACAATAATTTATATATTTCAGATAGGAGCACATCAGTATATATGTATACATTGTCAGGTAGGAAACTTAATCAGTTCAGCAAGGATCAATCAGGACATAAGTTGTTCTCTTACATGTATAGTTTAGCTGTTAGTAAGGATGCCAATAGGATTTATGTTGCTGACAGCAATAATGGACTGATAGTACTGGACAACAATGGTCTGGTTATTACAACATTTAATGATGGGCAATTAAAGGGGGCTAAATGTTGTTACCTCACTGAAGCAGGCAGTTTGCTGGTATCTGGATATGACTCCAATAATGTTTTACAGTTTACATGTGATGGTGAGCTGATAGGAGAGGTTACTAAAGCTGGTAGTGAAAAAATGGGAATTATATCAGTCTGTTGTAATCAACAAATGACAAAGATGTGTATTAGTAGATATACAGATGACAACATTGAAGTGTTTGACATCTAATCAGTAAAACAAATGATTCACAAAAGAAAAATAAACATGTTTTTAAATATATGCCTTTCTCTCAAAATGTATGCAAAGAGTGTAACATGTTTTATTTATTATAGGTGATAATTTCTTTTGGAATATCCATTTTTGAATGCATCTGGTTTAATTATTATTTGTTATATTACAAAAAAACAACTACTGAATTGTGTGAACAATATGAAAGAATCATATCATAAGAATATTTGGCAAGCATAGTATTGTTTAGTTTAACAAGTTCTATAAATTTAGAAATAAACACAAAATAATAAATTTTTCTTTATAACATGCTAAAAATAAAAATGATATACAGTAAAAAGAAATCATTCTTTTCATTGATGCATATATACATGTAGTGCAATACTAATAATTAGCCTATTTTGATGTTTGAAGTTAACAATGATGTCATGTTACATTGTGGTTACACTATTGTAATATTCATTTTCATTTAATGGCTTTTTTATACTTCTGTGCATGAATGAAATAAAATTCTATTCTTAAATCCTCTTTAGTCATTACCTCAACCCCAGAATGCATAATGTTGGGTAAATCATGCAAAAACCAAATATCTAAGATAAAAGTAAATAAATGATGGCTTTAAAGCAGCATGCCTCCAGAAGATGACAGAAAAACTACGGTCTTACTAATTTTTCAAAATACCTAGTTGAAAGAAATCGGAGTGACACTTTAAAATGTTGATAGTTTAACATTTTTGCTCTGAAAACTAACAGTTCGCTTTCCCCCCAATGGGATATACCCTCTTTTATTAAAGTATGGAGTTCTTTCATTCATTTTCCTAGTACTATGTGATGGTACAGGACAATATTGCCACCTGTGATCAGGAACACATGGAATCAAGATCGTATCGAACATAGAGGGAAACGAATAAATTACTTTGGTTTTGCTATTTGTAATAGTTTGTGATTATAAAAGTTATACTTGATTAATCATATAATATATCTAATAACCAATATAACAATTAAAACTTTAGCTTGAAATATGATTACGGCTTACACATACATTAACCCTATACCTCATATATACGCGAAACAACGCACTTTCGCCCCCCCACCCTCTTTTAGGCCTCAAATAGTGAAAAAATGTCCTATTTGGGCCCCAAACACATGTTTTCGTTTGAGAAATGTTGCTAAAAAAAGATATCTCTTCTGTTCGGGGGGGGGTTTGAAGGGGGGCGGTAGTCCCCCTCATCACCAAGAAAATTTTGGACTTGTGAGAGGCTAAAAATGGCCCCAGGTCGATCATAAGGTAACATGTAACCAACGCTGAAAAGCGTTTGACTCTATCTCAATCCCTTGAGAAGTTGCAGCACTTTGAAATAAATTTTGATGGAAAAAATCAAGACAAATAGTGATTTTTGGCAATTGGAGACGGCCCCTCGTTGCTATGGTAACAGGAAATTTAAGACTAAAAAAAGAGCATGTCATTACAAAGGCAATGGTCCAGTCAACATTTGTGCCAAGTTTGATTAGTATTGGAGTATTTTTCATAGTTTCATAGCTGTTTGAACTTGTTACAGGAGGCTTTTCAATGAAAACGGCCATTTTTCACAATATGCTCATGAGGGAAAGGGTTAACAAACATTTATATATGACCCTCCAGGGATTTTCCTGAACCTTTGGACTGTGACACGTGACCATGCTGAATGATTTATTTTCTACTGTGTTAGTAACGCAGTAGATTAATTAAAGAAGAACTAGGTCAATATTGTTGCAAAAGATACCTGTCAAAAGCTTTTGATGGACATGTGGGCCTAAAAGATATGCATAGCAATTAGCTGTAAGTGTAATCTTGACCTTTGAACTCGATTAAGTATGAAGCAATACATTTAATGGTGGTAAACATTGCTTTAAAGTATCATACAAAAGGGCTATTATGGCCCTAAATAGGTCACCTGGGTCAGAATACTTGTTCATTTGGGTTTTCGGTAGACACACATTAGAAGATGTTTCATGCTTAACATGTAAGCTCATTGGGTTTTTAAAAGGAGATTATTTAAGTTTCTGGATGAAACTGGCTTAGCGGATTATGAGGAGATGTGGTTTAAAGTTAAATTTTATGCACAGAGGGACGCCGGCCGAACACAGGAAGAAAAGCGATCACAAAAGCTCACCATGTCACTTTGTGAAACACAATACACTGTACAGGTAATAGAGCTCCACCTTGGGTGTAATTTCAGTTATGCACTTTTAACCTGAGAGAAATGTTATTTTTACAACAGAGCCATGATGGCCGTGAAATCACTCACCTGAATATAAAACATCTCCATGAACAAGAATAATTTTGACCCCAGGACTTTATTTGAACAAGCTTGGTAAACACCCACTAATAGATGTTTCATGCCAAATATCAAAGCGCTATCTTTTGGGGTTTTTTAAATGTAGATTTTTAAAGTTTTTATTATATATTTTTACTAAATACATATAAGGAAAATCAATGACGAAAAGCCCTCACAAAAGCTCACCTTGTCACTTTGTGACAGGTGAGATAAAAATTTAAGATCATTCAGTCATTTCTTTTTTCCCCAATTAACCACTTTATTCATGCAAAATGACTAAATAATGAAAAGTGTTTCACTGCTTTTTTCTCAAACCAGGATAATTTTTTTTTCAAACTTCAATTCTACTCTATATTTCTTTATGATCTTTTGCAGACTTTTCTATTTTAAGTGTCTTAATTGATTTATGCAAGAATTTCATTTTTTTTGTTTTGAGGTGTTTTTTACCAGGTCAGTGGAGCTTCCTTAAAAATATTTCAATTTTACATTACAGAATGACTTTTATTTTTGCAAAATAATGTTTAGGCGTTGCGCTAACCACAATGCAAGGGTGAATATATACTCAAAATAACTGATCTTAAAACTTATAAAAATATTTCAAGTTCACATTACCTCAGCATGACTTTCATCTTTTTTCACAGCAGCTTCAAACAATAATGCAGCATTTGGTATGTATCCCCTTGTTTCAACTAACTTCTCAAGACCAGCTTGGAACGGATCTGGGTGATTTATCAATGGGTCGTCTTCTTCAAACTTGTATTCCTGTGGAGGATAACAATGAAAATTAACTAACTTTCACTGGATTAGTTTGGAATAGCTTGTCCTTATCAAAAAATAAATATTGGAGATAAAAACCACAGACTTCTTTCAAAATCAGTATGTGGGGCATTAATCTATGTGGTTTTTGTGGACAGGTCAATCCATGAATATAAGATCTAATAAAATTTTATTTATGGACTGAAATATTTATTTTTTGTATAACAAAATCTAAGTTAGAGTTATGGACCTAAGGAAATGACCTCCTATTATGCTCTTAAATGAGTATGTGAAGTTTCAACCCATTCTCTTCAGTAGTTTTTGAGATACCAGCTTGCAAGTAAAACTTTAACAAAGTATGACGTACGAAGTATGCGGATGCCTAGGTGAGTACAATACGTCTCCCTCCCTATTCTAAGAATAGTCAAGGTAATAAAACTGAGTTATCAAACAGCAAAGAATGCAGTTAAGTCAAAATTCTGGCTCTGAAGCATTAATCACAGACTTGCAGACTCGGTTTGATTGAGTCTGTACATGAGAGATAATGTATAAGTGCAACATCCTTCACGCCCCCTAGCACCGGCTTGAGCGGTACTCAAGTCTCAACACATAATAGTGCTGGCATCAATGATCCCGAAGGACCAGAAAATATAACAAACACTGAAGTGAAGTACGGGGCAACTTTTTACGGCTGCCACTAAGCATTTGACACCTACTGTTGTGAAGTACAAAATTCTGGAAACAAAGTGATCCCTCGGAAGCATTAATCACAACAAAATTACATAAGAATTGCAGACTCAGTTTGATTGAGTCTGTACATGAGGGATCATGAATAAGTGCAACATCACTCACGCCCCAAGCACCGGCTTGAGCGGTACTCAATTCTCAACATTTAATAGAGCTGGCATCAATGATCCCGAAGGACCAGAAAATATAACAAACACTGAAGTGAAGTACGGTGCAACTTTTTACGGCTGCCACACGGCACTTGACACCTCGGAAGCATTAATCACAACAAAATTACATAAGAATTGCAGACACAGTTTGATTGAGTCTGTACATGAGGGATAATGAATAAGTGCAACATCACTCACGCCCCAAGCACTGGCTTGAGCGGTACTCAATTCTCAACATTTAATAGTGCTGGCATCAATGATCCCGAAGGACCAGAAAATATAACAAACACTAAAGTGAAGTACGGGGCAACTTTTTACGGCTGCCACACGGCACTTGACACCTACTGTTGTGAAGTACAAAATTCTGGAAACAAAGTGATCCCTCGGAAGCATTAATCACAACAAAATTACATAAGAATTGCTGACTCGGATTGATTGAGTCTATACATGAGGGATAATGAATAAGTGCAACATCCCTCACGCCTCCTAGCAACAGCTTGGGCGCTACTCAATTCTCAACATTTAATAGTGCTGGCATCAATGATCCCGAAGGACTAGAAAATATAACAAACACTGAAGTGAAGTACGGGGTAACTTTTTAAGTCAAGCAAAATTATTGTAAATATGAGTATGAAAAAACATATAATAATATAAGCTCTTATGTTGGGTATTTAATCATGTAAGTAGTGTTTATTTTTTGCTTAATTAACTCACTTTATAAGATGAAAATCATACAAGGATTGTCAAGTTTGTAGTCGTTTTTGGAGATAAAAAGTGATTTGTTGGTGGCTGTTAACGGATCAACATCAACGATTTTTTATATAGTTCATACACAATATGTACGTAAATTCAAATCGTATTTCGAGAAACACAGTTTTATATCGTTATCATGAACTATCAACAATTTACATAGGGATATCTCTACGTCACTTGCGGTTTGAGATCGGACCTGCATAACAGTTAGCAATTCCTAAGATAGGAAGAAATCTGATCATAAACAACCCTTTCAAAATTTTTAGAAACAATGCTTAATATGGAAACAGGCCTGTATTTGCCAACTTCAGTTTTATCATTCTTTTCGTAAAGAGGAACAACTCTTGCTGCCTTCAAATCATCTGGTACTATGCCTTGTATCAATGACAGATTAATAATGTGTGTTAAAGGAAAGGCAATAATAGATGCGCTATCTCTTTACAAAACGTGAAGGAATACCATCCAGACCAGTGGATTTGTTTTGAACCTAGTTTATTCAAATACTTTATTACACTCTTTTCAGACATCAATGAAAAAGAAATATTAGTATATATAATTCTTTTTGAAAAATAAAAAAGAACATACAAACTTTTTACCAAAAATGTCATAGTTGGGAGCCATGAGGAACCAGCAATTTCCAGTCGAAACCCTCCACATTTGGTCGGAACCCTCCAAAAAGATAATAATACTTAGAGGCTATTGTAGTAAAACTGTTATATCTTTGTGGTATAGAATGTCCAGCGCCCTCTATCTCCCTCATTTCCTGTAGTAAACTGCCCATGTAGAATGTCTAAG